TTATAAGTCATATCTTATAGGGTTTTTATTGAAAAATATTAATGATTCATTTTTGGTACACTATGCAAAATAGACATAAAAATTCTTTAGTTAGTATGACATATCTATAACAAAATTATAAACCACATGCATACCACACCAAAACAAAACCAACAAACCAATAAAGGAAGCATAGTACTAAATACATGTCGTAATTATTACCATTAGTGCATGTTGTCCCATTTTTGCATCAACACGAAATAAGCCCTCCATACACATGATAGTTACGGAATATAGACAAAAGTACTAGCAAATTAATAAATAAGAGCCTTACCTTTAGAAAATATTGTTTGTTTAACGAATACACCAAAATATTTCTAAATAATCCACTTCCAAAAGAGTACGTAAATGAACCCGCTATCAAAAATGCGCGCCAATTGGTATAACGTCAGAAAGATACAAATATTGAAGTCAAATGTCATTATTTTAGTTAATTTTTGATAAGTCAATGGACAAAGGAATCACTGCCATTCAGCCAAATGTATCGATATCAAAACTGTTGTCGGGTATCCGCGCAAAAAGTTATTGATTCATTTTTGGGACTCTATGCATTTAAGGGTTAATCGTGACTAATTTTGCGCTTGTTCCATTTCACATTCAGGTTATGAATCTGTTCGGAAGCGTCTAAGCAAATTGAGTTAGCAACATACATGCATCGATAAAGGCGCATAAGGTGGAAACTCATAAAATACTTGAGAACGTGAGAGGAAACTTAGTCAAAATAATCTATCGGTTATTTTACGACCAGTAAGAATGTCGTGTATCCAATTAAATGGTAATGAGCCCTGTTAATAGCGGCTACTCGGTGCTACAGTGCTTCGTTCATTTCACAGTAAATTAAGTATAATTACTGGCAATTACTGCATTTCGTTGCTATTTAATTAGCATAAGTTTGTTTGCAAGATTTACCACGATTCCGGCAGTTAAAACTCTTGGGAAGTGTTCTCTCTTGGGTGAATTATGCTACATACATATATGTATATCTAAGCATACAAACTAGCTAGTAATCTCATAGCGTGAAGACTGTAAAGTTTATACGATTTATGCGGAACTTGATAGTAAAGTCAATGACAACATAAAGAGTCATAGCTGAAAGTTTCGGTTCAATTTAATATGATACAATATTACTGGGCATGTATGCAAGAAATTAATATACAGGATGATCCACCCAAATGTAGCCGTAATCATTAAAAATATCACAAAACTAAAAAGAATTACACTTCGCATTTTTTTAGTCGTGCATCGATTCGTCATTGACCATTCAGATTTTATACAAAATATTAGTTACAATGAGCAATGATAATATTCGGACACTCTTTAAAACGCAATCACTTTTTAAGAATTACGATTTGAATTTTATTCAAATATTGGACTGATTAATTTAGAAGACAATCGGTATAAACATTTTTGTAAAAATTGCAATTGGTTAGAATGACAAAAAAAAGAATAAAGAATGTGATGTTTTTTCAACATTTTTACATGAGCATATAACAAAAATTTTGATCAATGCTTTATATAGATCGAAGTAACTGATAAAAATTTGTATTGTGCCAACGAAAATATTAATCTTATCTTTTTATAATTTTTTAATTTTAATTTTATTTCAGTATTTTTTATTTTAATTATTTATTTTGTATTTACTTTGTATTTGTTTGCATTTACGTAATGTTTTTATTCGTCGTATACATTGGAAAAACGTTTTTTAAATCGTTTTATACCGATCTAACCAAATGCGATTGTTTCACAGATTTTATTACTCATTTTTTGTCTAGCAAATTAGTCACTCTAACACCTCAAAAAATATAAATAATTTGCTGCAATTTTGAAAAATCGCGTTAGTTGAAAATCGCTTACAGGCGAACATTGCATCTGTATTAAAGCATCTGACGGATAAGTTAGTTGCATGGCCCTGACACTGAAAGGAAATGGCACCTTAACGTATGGAGTGTATTGTATTGAAGGCATTGACGCATTACGTAGGTTATATGCTTTGGATCACGATCCTGTTGAAAATAAGATGTATTTCCAGTTTCCAATGTAATAGCAGAATATAGTAAATAAATTGAAAAGTATTTAAAGAAGCATGCTTTTTAATCAATAATCACTAGATTTGCAATAGTTAACAATAGATAGCAATATATTAATATACTGTTACATTTGATACCCTTGTACACTGTAATCGATTTTATGTTTCTGTAAAATAATTAATATTTGATTTTCGATATACTTTTGGCAACGACTTGCCTCATCCCTTTAATTCGTCCAAGAATAGATTTTGATATATAATATTTTATATTATATTATATTATTATATATTATTATATATATTATTATATATGTAATTAATAATAATTATTATATATATATAATATATATTATTATTTTATATTATATTTATATAATATTTATATTTATAATAGATATTGCTATACAATATTTTGCTATACTTTGCTATATTATATAGTATACTCTACGTTTTAGAGT